TGCAGTCCCAGCTACTGACTCAACATCTCTAGTGGTGAGGTCAATAAATCTGTATTTCTTCTGCATGCAAAAATTTGAGCAGCACTGTGCTACCAGCCTTCTTCCCAAGTCCCATTCTACGTTAGCCCTGCAAGTGCCCAAGCTTTAGGACAGAGATGCCAGGAACTGAGCGCTCATCGCTTATTTGGCACTGGGGCCCGATACTGTGGGCCACACACTTCCCTATCACTTTCTGTAACTACGCAACAACTGCTGAAGAAAGTTCTCAGGCTCTTTAGGAAAGAGCCTTACATTCTGCATGCGAAGACAGTGATCAGAAGGGATGACAAGTCACGTCTATTTCTGGAATATGAGGAAGAATCAATTGTAATTGTGAAAATACCTCTATGTTAAACCTTCCGGTAACACTTTTACTACAAAATAGGAAAGAGAGAAGCTTACTATGGACACAGAAATCAATGTCTCTGGATTTCAAGGGAAAATAAAGGAGCTTTAAAAAAACAGAAGCAGCCAAGGGCAAATGGTCAAATCTCTCGCCTAAAGAGGAAGAATGTTTGTGTCCACTTTGAAATGAGTGAACATATACAACCTGTTGTGTTACCAGATGGTTTGACCTAACACATCCCAGGTACTATATTTTTAATTTGTTGGTGACTCAAAGGCACTCATAGGGTGATCTGGCAGAATCCATGAAGACGATTTTTGCTATTGCTTTTAATGGCAAAAACAGCAATTACTTTTGTACCAACGTAATGTTAATAGTTGCTTATAGATATCTCTCTCATCAAAATGCCTGAAATGCCATTGTTAGAGATGCGTTGCTTATGGCTAAATATTTCATCCAGGCATCTTTCCTAACAGATCTGGGGAAATATGGCCTGTTGACATTAAAATCCCATTATGAGATGGGACTATGGAGAACTGGAGCATGTGGGGATATTGGGGTGGAGATTGGAAAAGGAGGAAACTTTGCAGAAAGGAAAATAATAACTTTCTTAAGGTTTACCTTGTGTGAATCCATCACTCTTTCTAACACTTTGTGAAGCTCCAGCTAACCAGCCTAGAGCCAACTTTAAGAGCTGACAGCCCTGCCTTCATCAAATACCCCTGGTCAGAGAACCCTGAGCAGAGACACAGTTGGTCCCTTTGATATTGGTCTGTGATTGAAGAAAGGGCAATTTCTTTTGCCAGTGGGCCACTGCTGCCAGCCAGCTGTGGGCAGTGCTAGATCTTCCTCCCTTCACCTGGTAATATGCAGTCAGGTCACATGCCAGACCCTAACATATGCCTCCTTCACTTTCTGATCTCCTTTTCCAGATATCTCCATCACCTCCCATCCACATCTGTAATTGTACTCTTTGGGTCTTGAAGACTTCAGAAATCCCTTCTAACATGAAATATAGCTGGGTGTGATCATACTTTGTTTTCTGTTATCTCTTTAAACATGACTTAATTCAGCAGATACTAATTGATGGTCATTGAGAGCAAAAAGGAGACAATTTGGGAAGATTATGATATGATGATGCCAAAATATTTTGCACAGAGGAGGACTTTGTAGAGATGTAGAAACGACAATAAAAAATAAAGTGAAAAAAATATAATTTACCAAGATAAATAACAAGTTGTTCTTATATGTAAAATATGTGAAAGAGTTGTAAGAGGCCCCAGAATTTGTAAATGGGAGTCATTTAGGGCATTGAGTTTTTTCTTTAAAGTTGCTATTTAATAGGATTCAGATATTTAGATGCATTTTCTGTAGCTTCAGTGTATATTACATATGTTATATGTAACAGGTATATGACATATAATATGTCTATTTATTACATGTATTTGTTTAATTTAGATATAGCAGAGGACAAAAATGGAGGAATTTCTGAAGGAACTAGATTGTAAACCAATTTGAAGAAGCAGGTATTGAAGGAGAAAATTGCCATTTAGAGGAGATAGCATAAGCTCATGGAGGGGGAACCACACATAAGGGGGCTACAGGCTGCTTGAACGAGGCAGAGTGGCCAAAGGGGCGAGGCTGGAGGTGTGAAGTTCAAGCCAGGTGGAGGGAGCAGCTGATGAAGCAATCTGTAGGGGCAGCCTTGGTGTGGATCTGGAGGGTTCCCAGTAAGCTCCTGGGCAGAAGGATGACTCCATATGAAGACTGTGAAGGTGGCACTGGACAGACAGCTGGGTCAGGGCTATTGAGGGAGACAGGGGACTAGAGGGAAATAAAGTGTCTGGTTGATCTCCAGCCATACACAGGTGAGTCTGACGAAGTGGGCAGAAATAATGTCTCCATCTCTTTCAGGGTGGGTGTGGAGGATCTGCTCTCATTTCCCTCATCTAGGCAATTTCTTGCATATAGATGAAGAGACTCGGAGGGATGGTTCCCTCTAGGTAAGGCTGCAGAGTGGGTCAGGTGGTCCTTTTCAGATGGTCCTTGCCCCTCCCCGCAGAAGGGGCTCAGGCTCCCTTCTGTGCATCATTTTTTGAGATGAACTATTAGGAAACCCATCGTGTTCAGGGAGCTGAGTCTTTTGCCTGGTGGTAGAACAATGACACATGCATTCTGGCTGATGTCTGGCTCCATTTTTGGAACCCATAACAATTATTCCTTTAAAATTCCAGGTTGAAATGGAGAACTGAAATCTGAAAGTGGCTCTTCAAATGAGTGGGGCAATGTGTTTTAAGCATTTAATCTCAAAAGACTCCACTCACCTCCTCCGATTATTTTAGAGGCTGACTTTCTCTGAGAATAGAGAAGCAAAGAGAGGAAACTCATTTTGATCTAATGTACTCTTAGTCAGTTTAGGGGGCTGAGGCCACAACTGGTGTTTGAAGGGAAAAATATAGAGCCCCAAGTGGAGCCAGGAAAGCTTCCATTTTCTTCTCGGCCTTAACACACCCTCAGCAAATGATTGAAGCCTGGGAAATTATGAATATCAGATTAATTGAACAGGAAAACCAGTGAACAGCTGCAATTTTCTGCCATGGAATTTTTTGGTTTTTAATTTAAGTGATAGGAAACCATTTTATGCATTGGGTTTTCCAAATTGATTTCAAGAGTGTACTATGCTAATATGTGGTAATTTTACACAATAAAAAATTGGCTTTCTACTTGGAATTTTAGGCATGAGAGTTGCATCATGATTGTTATACTTATTTGTTCTCTGATGAAAGAAAAGAAGATTGAACATTAAAAGCTGAAGGTCATCCATACAGTTGTCCCAATAGCAATCTGTGTACCTTTAACCCTGAGGAGGAAAAGTAATTACCCTTTGGCTTCTGGTGACCTCAACTAACCTTTGTTGAAGGGCCAGAGAAAATAAAAGCTGACCATCAGCCTGCCCTGGCTGCCCTGGGCTTAACCTGCTGTGTGAATGAAGAACAACCCAACAATAGGATGAGAGGATGTTGCCATGGAAATAGGCCTGGACGAAGGAGCAAAAATCAGAAATTTATCACAATTAATTGTTCTATTAAGAACCTCCCATCTTTTGGATTATTCTCTGGGGGTAGGGATGGAAGATGTGTTCTCATTTAGATCTTATGAGAGAAAATTCTGCTTGCATAAATGAGGCAGCCCATATAGTAAAACCATTCTAAGTAGTGGCGAGAATTGGACAGATTTGTGAGAGACGGAAGGATCTATATCTCCTCATCATCTATAAAGATGCAAATGCAAACAGCCAGGACAAGGGCCAAAGAACCTCATTCTATCAGGGGAATCAGCTGAAGTGTGGGTCTGGACATACGTCTTTTTAATATTTTCAGTAGACTGTTGCCTGCGCTTTCATGCCTTGGCAAGGTCTGCAAAATACAGGTAATGATATTTTAACAGTACAGAAATGAGTTGTCATATTTTATTCTGCTTATTTAGCCTTTCTGTTAAATAGAATCCAAGTTCTATGTATTTTTAACATGAGCTTGTTTAGATTAGAAAATAGAAACTTGCTATCCAATTATGTTCAGATTAAACTAGACTAATCCATGATGCTCTGGGTGCTATAGACTAATTGCAGAAAAAAGAAATAGAGTGAGAAATAGTTCTTTTATGGAGAGCCTACAAGTTATCTCTTAGGTAGAAGCAGATGTATTTAAAAGTAATAATATTTTTATTTTTAACGTGAGAATGTTTTCATTTGTATTCATCATACAAAGATGAAATTAGACTTTAAAAATGTGGATTTTTGATCAGTTCTTTCATTTATTTGTATTAAATGGATTAATTAATTATTGAGCAAAGGACTGTATGTCAACTTAACTTCTTTTTCGCATGACAGATAGCAATATGAAACACTATTTGCTGTATTTCCTAAATAGTGAGTTACTCGTGTTAATCAGTTTTTAAAATAATTTGTGGTGCTAAAACAAAGCAGGTGGTTAAGCTCAGACATTGATTTTCTCTTTAATGGGTATTTCATCAGTGAAATTTTAACCACCGATGAAGGAGAATATAAACCATAGTAGGTGTTCACTGAAGACTCTTGCTTACAGTGAGAAGATATGTTTTTCTGTCACAGTGTAAGATGCCAACATGAGTTTCAGCCATGAATTTATGAACCTATGAATTTTAACTCCAGATGTTGATAAGAAATTAATCTCATACTGGGGAGCATTGTCAGCTTTCATTAGAACTTGGGAAGTTTACATTTGGTAGAAATAAACTTTTTAAACGACAGGACATGTGTTGGAAGTCTATTAACTAACAATGAAATCCAGCTCTTGGACTTCTTATTTACCCATCTGCTCCCTGCAGTTAGTTTAGTACTCGTTTGGTGCGATTCTGGTATTGTTAGGGCCAGGATTCTGTTTGCTAACCCCTCAGGTACCTGTGGTTGGAAGGCCCATCTCAAATAATATAATAGACTTGGCCAAACTCATTGAACACTCTCCGTGGCCTTTGGCAGGCTTTTAAGCTTTTTCTCTGCTATAGATAACAGTTTTTCTGAAGTGGCAGCAACATAGCTCTAAAAATACATCTACAATAAGGTCCTAGTTGTACTTACCTTATAGTTCAGCAGCACCTCGCTGGTGGCGATCATGCTTCGTAATTTCCATTTGCTTTAGTTTGCTGGTAAGCACATACCTGCTTGTAGGGTGCTAAGAGTGTTCTTTCTGGCTAAGATGTTTGCAGCGTTGGGCTTCGTCTTTACAGTTCTCAGTTTATTTGGACCCTCTCCAGGTTTTCTCTGTTTATTAACCCTCACCTGGACGGCGTGGCTGAGACAGCGGAACCAAAAGTAAAGATGGTAATGGGTTTCTGTTGTTTCACCTGTCTGGGCCAATAGAAGATTGAAAAGGAGAATGAGGAGCAAGATCAAAATGTAAAAAACAGTGCTAATCTTGCCTTACTTAGAGAGAGGCAGCAGATACCTACCTGGTCTTCCCCATTTAAAACGATTATGCATAATTTCTGCTGGTTTGGATAATCAGTTCTGTATTGTAATTACGGAAAGATATTTCATTATGTACAGTTTGCTTATGGACTACATTTTTATTGTTCTCAATTTTGTTCAGAGGAAGAAAATTCCATATGTTTAGTGAAGTTTACTTAGAAATCTTCCCAAAAGAATTCTGTAAGGAATAGGGTAGATCAAATCTCTCAATGACTAGATATTTAAGTGCAGACATGAGAGTATTTACTGATTTATAACTAATAAAGCTTCAGCTTAACTGCTCTTCAACGACACCTATAAAAATGGTATTAAAGTGTGATGAGCAATTTAAAAGACAAGGACTACTGAGAAGAGTTTTTTATAGTTTGTAGCTATCTGCACTTTATTTTTAATCTTTTATTCTATGTGTACAAACTTAACTATGAAATAAATCCACAAACTCTGCAGTGTAAATGAGGAGCTAAATACGGTATGTAAGAATCACAAAAATAATTATGTCATAAATGAAAGCAAAAATTAGATGATAAATATATGTGTGGAAAAATGCCAAAAATTGCCATCCAGGACACTTTGAATGTACGTATGGAAAAACCAACATGGAATTTTGTGAAAAGAGTTCAAGATAATTTTTATAGGGTTAACATTACATATTTTAAACAGTATGATATTTAGTCAATAGAGTTGAAGATAATTTATATAAGGTAAACATACAAATTTTTAAAATTACATGGCATTTTGTCAAGAGAGTTTATGATAATATTGGGTTGAATAGACACTTTCAACTGAAGGGGGAAAAGCTATTTTAACAGTTTTTGGGTGTTAACACTACCAGCTCCCAATTAAGCAAACATTAACAACGTGACATTATTCTGACATACTCAGTATTTAAAATATCTTTCCATGGATTACGTGTGGTGTAATGAATCATATACAGAATATAGGATATTTTAGTGGAATATCAAACTGTGGTGTTAATACTGTATCTGGGTTAAAGAACGTGAAAACATCATAAAAAATTATATGGCATCAGTGTTCCTCATAAAAGGACATAATTCAGTCTTGTTCAACAGACTGATGGAAATGAAATGCTGTCAACCTTTCTACATTTTCAAGCACAACATATAAAGAAGGTAACTCATGAAAACAAATTTAGATCCATTTAAATACACCGCAGAAAACAAAGATATTCCAAAGAAATAGTCAAATATGCCTCTCATCAAGTCCTGCAAGGTTCATCCTGGATTGAAGCAGGGAATTTTATAAACGATTATGTTATTTAATAAACATATATATATATATCTCCATATATTATGTCATCCTGAAGCAAATGATTAACCCAGTTTAAAGTCACAACTACTAGAATTCAATATACAATAGTACCAGGTATCCAGCTGTGAAGTAGCTGGGCTTGGGGCTTTCTATTTCCACCTCCCCACCACAAGCACATAACTACAGTTCATATCTAAGCTTTGAGTAAGAATATCAGCTACCTTAAAAGTTGCCTTCAGGATGAAATACCTTTAAATGCTGCAGCGCCCTGGATTTCCAGTTAACCAAACTATATTTCCAGCAGAAACTCCTGGGGTATAGAGTAGTTCTCGTCTGTAGGCTCTTCCCGCTGGTCTTCTTAGGAAGCGTTGCTGGAGCACTTTATTTATTTATTTTTAATCCTGTTGATAATTTGACTGTCAACTAATGCTCGCCGACTCATCACTAGTCTTTCTTAGGGTGGAGATGACTGGAAGGTTGAAGGACTGCAAGCCATACATCATTCTCCCCTTCTCAGTGCACCTTAATATGAACATGGCATCATGACTCCGAGGAAAGGAGGGGAAAGCTGAGCCATCAGATATTCCGCAAATTGCAGGCTTTCCCTATGTCCTGTAGTGCTGGAAAGGGGGATTATTACTGCAGAAAAAAAAAAAAATCTGGCCACACTGTAGAAATAATCACTGCAATTGAGCTCCCTGCTATCTCCCCTTGTTTCTTCTCTCTCTCTTTCTCTCTCTGTGTCTCTTCCTCTCTCTTTTTCTTGCTCTCTGTACGAGGCCCCAGCTGATTCAGGCTGCATCCAACCATACATAAATCATTCCCCTTATTCTATTGGTTACATGGTACATGGCAAGTATTGATTTTTTCCGTTGCCTCATTGCTGGAGAACACTTGGTTTTTGTGAGACAGAAAAAGAAAAAACCAAACCAAACCAAAGCAAACAAAAAAACCCTCACCAGAGTTTTGTCTAGATAAGAAATAATCAGGTAGATGTGTACCATGCTGGTGATAAGTGCATTCTAAAAACAGCATACTTTTGAGAGGCCTTTTACTGTCTATTTGCATGTTCCCAATATCTCCTGTCTCAAAATTAAAAAAAAAAAAAAGAATTGTTTCTAGTGGTGGAGAGCTCTGGGCTAAGGACTTAGGAAGGATACACACAGAGAGAGATCTTCGCTAATTGTTCGGGGTAAGGAGGCAACTAATTGATCACTGCTAACTCCAGGAAAAAAAGAAAGTTTAGTTAAAACACAACTCACTCACAAAACAGGAATAAAGGGCAAACATAATGCCTCCTGGCCAAATGACAACATACAAGACAGGAAGAAAGAGATGTTTGCCTACGTTTATTTTGTGTGGTGATAAAATGTGCAATTACGCCTTGTTTGTGTGAAGTATAAATATAAAACACTGTCAATATATTGTATCTTGTAATACTCAGAGGTGGGAAATAGCAAAAAAGCAAGTGTGTCTTAGTTTAGGGTTCTGACATTTAATACTTCAGAACCTAAGTTAAAACGCACGGGAGTTTTAATATTTGTTGCCAAGAGCCATTTGTTTTAAAGTGATAGCAGCTCTTGGACTCTATCCGAAGGGGTTTTATTCCTGAAATATCAAAATAACTTCTTTATGAGGTAATGCTGTCCAAAGGAGCATCCCAATATATGAGGAAATTGTTATAACGAGGAAATCATTAGAAGAAGGTGATAGTGCTAAGGTAAGATGTGAAAAGATGGTAAAAACCCACTTTCATTTTATGAGCCTATGTTACAACTGATTATTAATCTAACAAAGGGTGAAGTTTAAGAACAAAACAATTCAGTGAGTTACACAGGTGGCAGGGTATTTCTGTTATTTTCATTTTTTTGAGATGAGTCTCACTCTGTTGCCAGGCTGGAGTGCAGTGGCGCGATCTTGGCTCACTGCAGCCTCCGCCAGGTTCACGACATTCTCTCGCCTCAACCTCCCGAGTAGCTGGGACGACAGGCGCCTGCCGCCGTGCCCGGCTAATTTTGTTTTTGTATTTTTAGTAGAGACGGGGTTTTACTGTGTTAGCCAGGATGGTCTTGATCTCCTGACCTCGGCCTCCCGAAGTGCTGGAATTACAGGTGTGATCCACCGCACCCAGCCAATTTTTGTATTTTTGGTAGAGGCAGGGTTTTACCATGTTGGCCAGGATGGTCTTGATCTCTTGACCTCATGATCCGCCTGCTTCAGCCTCTGGTGGCAGGGTATTTTCTTTTGTGTTCTACTTAGAGGTGTCAGCTGATACATTTACCATGTAAAAATTGCAAGTGAGAAGTGTAATGGCTTCTTTAACCTACTTTATGAAGTTAAAAAATTTCTTTTAAACCCAAGCCTTTATTCCTTACATAAATAGAGTCCATTAAACTGTCACCAGCCTCAGAAGTCAGACTATGATTTCTCCTTTTTTTTTTTTTCCCCACAAAAGTTGTGCTGGAGGATTCTTTTTGTCTTTTTGGTTTGTCAGTTTACTGTGTGGCCCTTGGTCCTTAATCCATGTTTATGATAAGGTCTGCCCAACAGAGGATTCTGTAGAGTTGAGCTGTGAGGTCTACCCAGGTAGAGCTGTGGCCAGCCCTTTGGGTGTTTAGCCTCTCAATGCACGGAATACTACTCATCTCTCTTGTCTTTATCAATCCCTTTTATTGAAGCACTCAGAGCTTTGCTTTTTACATTTAAGTACTGGTTTATCTACATTGCCATTTCAAGGGAAACCATGAATTAAGATATGGGAGAAGGCCTTAGGAAACCTGCATGGAATTTTGTAGGTATTAATGTTTCGTTGTTTTGTGTGTTTGTTATAGTTTAGGGTTCCAGCCCACTACTTATTTTCTCAATCATCTCATATCCATGTATTGGAGAGAGTAAGATTGCCTGCCAACTTACCTAGGTGGCAAAAGAGTTCCTAAAGGGCTTTGAACACTTTGAATTTAAAAGGAAACAGACAAGAAAATGACAAAAACTACAGGCAATGCTTTGAACCTGACCTTTTTTCTTTTCTCTGCCTCATCCTTTCCTAACTCAACAACTTGAACATGATTTTTGACCATTGGTTGTTGCCAGTGGTTTGCTGGGCCGAGGGGAAGCTGCAGAGCGAAATGCCCATGCCCCCTTCAAATGCAGTGGGCTCACTGGGCGAACACAGGCATACAAACTTCTGCACAAGCAGAGGTGTGTGTCCCACACGTGGTACGGGTTTCTGCTGTGTAACTCTTGTACTCTCTATAGGTCTGTTTCTCTAGGAAAATCATATAAGAACCTTAAGTAATGAATACCAAAAGTGCTTTTCTTTTCAATGTTTTATTTTCATTCACTCTAACAAGATTTTAACTGACAAGCAGAGCCTTGCCCACAGTGGACACTCAACAGGCATTTGTTTGTTTAGTTTGGTACAGTGTGGGCTCCAAAGGAGAGGTAAC